AAAAAAATAAGAAAGAAACAAGATATCTATGTTTTAAAATAAACAAGATCAAGAAAATAAAGTATTTTTGACACTACCTTTGTAGTGTCATAAGCAAATGTGTATGCTTTAAGAAAGGGGAATGATTAAAGCATAGTAAGACTGAACTGTGTGTCTTTGTTCCCAATAGCATACCCCCATATCCTAGTGTATTTTAAAATACACATACATGTATTCATGTATACATGGACAAACACATGAATTATATTTTGAAACTAAACTAACCCTAACCCTAATCCTATCTCAGCAAAGTTTTCAAATGGCTAGATTAGCTATCTATTACATTTCAGAAAACTATGCTTGGAGATAAAGAATGAAGTCACGTACAAAAATATGCACATTATTAAAAGCTTCCTAAATATCCCTGTTGACATTCAGCTTCTGTTGAAGTGTTCTCCCTAAAAAAAAGGCCTAAACCAGATGACAGGGAATCTTTTGGTACTCACTGCCAAACTTTTTGAGGGGAAGAGGCATGGAGAATAATGTTGAGTAGGTTGGGCTAATCAGACACATGGGCAAAGTTACTTCCTCATGCAGCAAGAGGGATGAGATCATCCTGCCTTCTGCCAATACGTAGTCCTAACTCATGTTGAGGGACCACAAGTTTCTCAGCTTCCACAACTAGGACATTTCTATTGTGAGAATGGAAAGAATGGGATCTGGAAAACTAATGAAACATTTTCAAGTTTGAAACATTCCAACATGTTCAAAAAAGCCCATTTTATATCTGAGATTTAACATCTTGCAAATTGTTAACAATCCAATCTGAAAGAAAATGTTTTTATAAAACTACTTGGTAGAAATATGGAATTTGCTTGCTATTGCCTCCTAGATCTCCCCCCACCCCACCCCCCCACCCCACCCCCAGCATAGCTTACATTTCTGGCCTTTCTGCATGATCTTCCAAGTACTCAACTTGGGAGATGATCATGGATAGCTTTCAAAAATAATTAAAGTTGGCTGGGGTTTCTTTATGGCGATCACATATAATTCTTAGCTGTGATAATAGGCTTATTTAGAAAAAAAAAAACAAATTAAAAATTAATGCTTACGAAGTAGCATACAACAGATTTAGAAATATAACTTATCCACTTCCACATCTCCTTTCCTTGTTCTCAACGTGTGTAGCATGCTAAGGGCTGAAAATAGATTGGATTGAATATTCCAGTCACTATAATTCCTGACAGACTAATTATGAATCCTTCTCAGTATTAATATTGGTGTTAATCTATATAATGAAGCAATTTCGATGCAGTATCTCCATAGTCCTGTATCTCAAACAGAAAATTAAGCTCAAATGGAAAACAGAAAATGCACTTTACCTGTTGAAACAGATTGGTCTGTACCATCGAACAAAAGATCAACCAGATCATTGGATGACTTGTTACCAGAAACCTAGGACAAGCACAATTGAACTATTTAAAAATATATAATATAAACAAAACTGAAGAAAACAGTAGCATTATAAAGCTCCTCTTTTATTGGATACAGGCCAGGGAGTGTACATACCAAGAAACCTTATTAGAAATAAATTCATATTAAAAACATTAGACAATGGAAGACTAGAAATTAACATATCAAAGGAATTTGATTAGGATTTTAGTACAATTTCTTCCCATTGTTGTCTGCAAAGATGTAAAAAAGAAGAAATAGTTTTAAAAAGTTTAAAAATAAAGATAACAGAAATGCCTATATGAAATTGGCTCCTTAAAATTGATATTGGGATCTTAAGAATACCAGGAAAACCACTCCAGTTTCATAAAATGCTTGTAGCTCTTCACTAATATCTATTTCCATTATTTATTCTTACTAAGCCCTCTGTAATCACTAATTTGAAAATTGACTTGTGGTTTAAATTCAGCATTCAGATCTTGTAACTAAGATTTTTAATTCTACTATATTTACTTTCCAGTAAATATAGAATTTGCATCCCATCTAAGGTAAGCAAATGTGTAAATGGTGTTATTTATTTTAGAAGACTGACCAACTCCATGAGCCAACATTAAAAATAGAAGGAAAAAAAAACAGTGACTGTCCAGAAAAACATTTCTACTAACAGAGAAAATTCAGTAAAAGATTTGACATCCCCTAGTCCAAAGCTAATGTGTTGGTTTAAACTGGCTCTTATAAAAAAAACCTGATACTTTAAATTATCTATATTTGATAAAACTACTAAGCTAGAAAATGAACTTCTTGAATACATCATATCCAAAATGCTCAATTCCATCAATAATTAAAGGTATTGTGATGACTTATCTTACCACTGGGCCCTGAATTTACTAAAATAAATCACTGATTAAACTGCAAGGTAATAACTTCATAAAGCCATTATACTTTAATATGTGAGATCCGATAATGTATATTTTTCTGCATAGTCACAAATAACAATGGATGGAAAGTTGTTTTTCTTTTAGCATCTTATCTTCTTTTAATAGTCTATGAATGTTGGCACATGTTGTAGTAAACTCTGCATATGTGATGAGCTTCTAGAAAATCTGCTCATTGCAGCATTATTAAGTAGACAAATGGCTCACCTTATTTTTTTTTATGATGTTTTCTGCAATACATTAGTTTAGCAGTACATTGTTAGATAAATTATAATCAGGAACAAAACAAACAAACAAACTTTGCTGAATAACAAGCAAAGAAAGTGTAATACCGTCCACATCTTTTCTGAGAAAAGATGGTTCCTGTTTCTGAGGAAAAAAAGGTTTGTGTTGTGACTGATTTATAAGTCTAAAGGAAAAATGAAGGTGGAAAACAAAACTTAAAAAGTATTATATTCCTAGCTATGTAGTAGGTTTAATACTGCACCAAGATAACTATAGATATGGGAGTGACCAAAATTTCAGTGATATACATATCCAATGTTTCATTTAGCTGGGCAATAGATACTAAACACAGGTAGTCCTTTACTTATGATCACAACCGAGCCCAAAATTTCCACTGCTAAATGAGACCATTGTTAAGTGAGTTTTTGTTCCATTTTACAATCTATCTTGTCACAGTTGGCAAGTGAATCACTGTTGTTCATAACTGACTTTGCTTGTCAAAAGATTGCAAAAGTAGATCACATGATCCTAGGACACTGCAACTGTCATAAATATAAACCAGTTGCCAAGTGTCCGAATTTTGATCATATGACCATGGGGATACTGCAACAGTCATTGAGTATGAAAAATGCTCATAAGTCACTTTCTTAATGGTCATAAGTCACTTTCTTCAGTGCTGTTGTAATTTCAAAGGGTCACTAAATGAACTGTTGTAAGGTGAGGACTACTAGTACTGGTCCTTCAAGAAACTGACCCTTTTCTCCTCTAGAGGCTCTTTCAGATGAGATGTACTGTAAAAAAATGGGCCAGTGGTTCCCAACCCTGGCAGTTTTCATGGATTTCAATTCCCATTGTAGCTGTGGAGCAGAAAATGACATAATCTGAAGTACCATGGAGATTCCCACAGATAATTTCTTAACAGTTTTTTTTCTAGCATGTGACTGCAGACTGTATACTTTTAATTTACCCGTACCCTTGGTTGTTTCCGTAAGGAAAAAAAAAGCAAGAGAAAAATACAGTGCAGATCAAATAGGACTTTACCACTAGAATATGTAGGGCAATTTGCAGGCTTTTACTTGAAACAGAGCCCAAGCTTCTTTTCTCTGAGGTGAAATTCTAACCAATAAAATGTCTTTATCTTTATGAGGTCATTTTTAAAATTAAGCAATCTTACAGAACAATTTTACAATGAAGTAAATAGATATATTTGACAGTAGACAATTCAGATGAAAATGATTTGTTTAGGGATGCTACCGAATGACTGTCTGTTAAATTATAGTTGCTTTCAGGTGGCTGAAAGAGATATAAACAAACCGTCTTTTAATTTAGGATATAATTGTGCCACCTGATTACACTTTATTCAGCTTAGCTTGAGAAAACTATTTCAGTGCCTGATTTTAAAACTGTGTTAATTTCGATTGAGGTTAAGTAAGCTTAAGTAGATAAAGTGGGGGGGGGGGGGGGGAAAAAATGCTCCTCTCTTCCCTCAGTATTTTCTAGATTCTTTTATGACATGGAATTCCCTTTATTATAGCACATAACTGCCAGGGCTGTTGTCAGAGAAGTACTGATACAAATTATCTATGCAAAAACAAACTATGTTTTCATATACTCACTAGCATAGATAATATTTCTAGTATTTGCCCTTCCCTAAGGCTGATGAGAAGGTTGTCCCTTTGTTCTCTGATCCCTTCAATATCCCTTAAAGTTGCCTACTTGATTGATTCCATAAAACAGCAACTTCTGATGCTAAGCCCTTAACAGTTAAGGTCATGTATTGTAGATATTTAGAAAAGAATACCAATAGATTTGTCTCATTCCTTTCAGTAAATGAAAAATTTACTGAAGCCAAAAGCTAAATTTGACTTGCAATACTATAGAAGATGAAGACCACACTGGTAGAGTCCAAAATCTGAGCCCTGTTCTCTTGTGTTTGCAAAGTCTTATTTTTGAATCAAAGACAGTTTATATCCCCATGCACCTGGAATACCAGTCTGCAGTGAAGTACAGCACAACACTGAACAGTTTTAAATGTAATGTTAAAATCACTTAATATCAAATCATTGGATTTGACAGTTAAGATCAAAAGCGCTCAATTAGATTGGACATTAAAGCAGCAATAAGCGATGCAGCAGCCAATCGTCTACTTAGCAATGTGGTTTGGTTCCCAATAGACCAGTGGGGGGAGTAGGAAGCCTATCAAAGAGGACCCCCAAGCAGTCTTATACAGAGAGTGACTGATAACTGGGATGGCTTCTTGGGAAAGCTTGTACAGGCTTTCTAGGTCCAGGTAGCCTTAGTGAGAGTTTACCTAGCTCAAGGACTAAAATTTTGCAGTGTGTGGAGAGGCCTGTAGGTTCTCCATAATTAAGCAGCAGAAGATGCTTAGACCTTTAAAAGAGAATCTGAGGATACCAACCTAAGTCAAGCAGATGACAATTACCTCATATTTATGAATCAAAAGCATTACTTCTGATAAGTTGTGGTTCTTATACTCATGACTTCCAATAACCGTTGATCATTCAACACAAAAATAGTCTTGCTGTTTTCAATAAATGACTCTTCCAATACAGCCAAAACATTTTTAGGTGTATTACTTTAAAGAAAAGTAATCTGGATTAAGAGGAATGAGAATTCTAACTCACAGTGGTGTCTTTGGTCACTTCCTTACCTTAGCTGTTGACTGTGGAGTGTAAGCTCCGGCATTCTGGTCTGGACTTTCTTTGTCTCCTGTGTAATGGGCAGCTGCTCCCAAGTCAATGGTTTTGGAAGGATTTGCCGTGCGTTTGTGCCTGGTGGTTGTGGTGGTCTCTGTGGCTTGTGTAATGTGGATATGTTTTGTGGTCACCGTTTCCTCCTCATCTTTGAATTCACCTTTTGGTGATTTTCCTCTTCTGGATTTCTTCTCTTCATCACTATCACTGTGAAAATTAAAACCAAAACATACCTATTAGATATTATATGAAGACTTAAGTAAAGAGACTGCAATGCCAACTTGAAAAAGCTATTCCAATTTTATTTCTGAAATTCTTTCAATTAGCTGGAAGTGTCCCAACTCTGAAACACCTCTTACACACTTCTAGAAATTATTCAGTGCTACAATCATCTTGTGAGCCTCTTCTGAACCTGAATTTCAATCAAGAAATCCAGATTGTATCATTTTAAACACCAAAATCTCTTCCAACCCATTTGTTATTTTTATTATTGTAGGAATTGCTGCTTAAAGACTTAATTGATTTTTTTTAACTAATTATAAAATTTTGGTTACAAATTATAATATTTTTCAAATCTGACACTTGTAGGAGATGACCACGTTGAGCTAAGGTCAAATACATAATCAGTCTGGAGTCTCTATGCTTTGTGAGAGACCTAAGTTCAGCCTTATTTGAAGTCCTTTGACTTTATCTGATACCAATTCATCAGTTCAGATTCTTGTATATAGGTAGCATGAAATAAACTTGCAATACTTTTGACCTCTATCCTGGTTCCTGATTTCTGACAGAGATTTAAGCAACATCCTAATCAAATTTCAGTACATGGTACAATACTGAAGCACCAAGTGCATAGCCAATTTTATGATTAAGATTTTACAAAACCAGAAATGATTCTGTTTAGATAATTTATATTTTAGATATTAAATCTTATTACCTACACATTTGGTTGGGATGCCCAATCAAGTAAGATGAATCATTGCCAGACTTTTCACTATCAATTCTACTGATTGAGAAAATTCTCTTTTCCCTCTAGGACACTGACATTGGAAATACTGGATCTTCACCAAAATTTTATTATTACTGTTGATATTCTCCTTAGAAGATAACCTATTTTTTCTAGTGACAAAATGCAATTTATATAAGATTATTTGTTTATTAAATTTATATGTTGCTTATCTCCATGATAAGACAACTCTATTATACATTCTATTATATAGATTATATTGGCTGCAAGTATGATTCCTGGCTTATGAAGAACACAAGGCTGACTGATCCACTCAAACTTTGGGCTTTTCCTGGAAAGAAAAGATAAGGCAAAACTGCTAGAGCTGAAACTGCCTCGTTGAATAATAAGAATATGCTGTGAAGTAGCTTGAAAGATAACCATGTTCTCAAACAAGAATTAGCTGCACAAGGTTTGTGTTGAATAATGCAACAGAGCACTAAACCATTTTCTTTTAAAATAGGTTGTCTTATTGTCAGCATGGAGGCACACAAACTACTGTACAGTATCCCCGTGGGAAAGCCTTTGTTTTCTACTAAATAGTGATTCAGGCTTTGCCATCATCATTATCATTATTTTTATTATTGTTGTTGTTGTTATTGTTGTTGTTGTTGTTATGTTTCCCCATTGTACCTCTGTATATTAGCTGTTTGCCAGCAAAGCTAGTTTAATTCATTAAAATCAGTTATCATAATTCCTAGCACTTTCCAACACAGATTACAGAGGAAAATAATATGAGGGCCTAAGAGCACCAATCAAATAAAATAAGAATAAATACACCAAAGATTCTTTAACTATTCTGAAAGAAAGAAGCCCTTACTAAAATAAAGGAAAAGTTCAAGCCACATTATAGCTGTGCTGTTGCACTGCAACACAATTATTCTATTTGTTCATTCACTCATATCCTACTTTTAAATACAAGAAGCATTTCCAAAGCTGCTCACTAAGAAGTGTTAAAACAGATAATCATAAAACAAGCAATTTGAAAATATACCAAATAAAACATCAACATGGAATATAGAAAGGAAGTGAAAATAATCAGCAAAACTACCCTGAAATCACTATTCAACTTGATCAAACTTAGACTTAACACCCAAAACCCAACTGCCAGGCAAGGAACATTCCAGATTTAGGGCAAGTTACAGGATAGGCCTTGTAATGATATAATTCCCATAAACTTTAATCATTGGAGCTAAACAGGATTAAGACAAAATCTGAAAGACACTAGAAGAAATGCTGGGCAACTCAATTTTATAAATGCTATGGTTAGAATATACCAAGCCACTAAAGCACACAAATTCTTTTTGCTGAAGTAAAAAGAGTAAAGTTCTGCATACACCACATGAATTAGAGTTTTTTTCATTATAATATGTACTACCTGGAATACATTTTGGGACAAGTGTTATTTTAAAAATATATGCTACAGCTTAGTAGTAGAAAATATTACAAATTTCACCAAAAACTATTTTAGGAAAAAGTTTAATATTAGTAAATATTATCACAAATATTAGGCAAAGTTAGAGAGTAGTCAAATTTGGAGCAGGCTTTAATAGAAGCGAGACTGCAGTCTATCGATGAATCAGTGAACCCTTACACTTGAATCTGTTTGTGCTTGCCAATGTTTAGAAATGCTAAGAATACTCATATAGTATAACATATTTTTTAAAATATTGCATATCATATATTCATAGATAATATAATACTAATACTGTACTAAAGAATAGCAAAAGCAATACTAAGACAAAACAGATTTTACTTTGTTCCAGGAAAGAACTTTGTATCTATAAAACTACCAAAAACTTTTTAGGGCTATTTGATACCTTGTAACCTTCAACTGGGCGAACTGGTGCATCACAGAAAGCAATTTTCAAATCAAATGGGCTAACTTACAGAAGTCCAATGCACTTAAACCATGTCTGTTCATCATTCTTTACATGTTGATTTTGTGGTGTAGCCAGATCAAGTCCTATGCAAACTGAGGAAGCAGTTGTATGGATATATTTTGGTATCATCTCACCTTCCATATGACTACTATAAAGTAGTTTTCAATTGATCACATAAGGATAAACCCTGACACATCCTGAGCTGTAAGGTGAATCATTACAGATCTGGACATATCGAGAAGACAGAAGAAGCAGAACCAACTCATGCAATATTAGGCTACAGGCTTTTGTTTTGTTTTTGTGCCCTGTCTTATGAAGGTTTTTTTTTTAAATAGAGAGGCAAGGCTGACTGCCTGAAACAGTATACACTGAAGCACAGTCTGGGGCTAAAAGTTGGCTGGTGTCAATCAGGAATGACGGAAGTACAACTGCTCCATCTAGTGTGACAGGTTGTCAGGGCCTTGGAAGATCAAATTAACCACAATAAAGATAACTTATGTTTAAGAGTTGCCCTAAAATCACAAGATATGCTTGCTTGTAGAATTCATGAAAAAGGAAAAGACCATTGTAATACATACTGAACACACAAAGATCACCTATATTCTGGAACATGTATATATTTTACAGTAAAGATAAGGCAATAACGGAGACCACAGAAGGAAGCACTTCAATATTTCTCAGTATCATCAGACTTGGCGCATGCTAGGTTCAGGGTGCAAACAGGCACCTGAGGATGCAAGGGAGGGGAGCAAGGATTCGAGGGGGATAGGGGTATGAGGGAAGCGTAGTGAGAGTACAAGGGACTACAAGGGAAGCATGGTGAGAGTATGTGTGAGGTTTTTTCAGGGTTGGCAAGACACATGAGGGTGATGCAGTGAAGCTCCCAGAAAATTACAGGGTATATACAAATGGTGGGAGCGGCTCAGAGAACATGCATGTGTGATCAATGCGGTGGGAGCACAGAGGAGCTGAGAGCTGGTGTGCAAGGGAGGAAGATTTACCCCAAAGAGCTTGTGATCTTTGCTGGATTCCCCACTGATTTTCTGGGGAAGCTAGCAGGGAAGGTTGCAAATAGGGATCATGTGATTATGAGGCATCCAGTTTGTGGCCACCTGATTGAGGGGGTATGGGGATGGTCAGAACTCTGAGGATCAGTCATAACCACAATTCGTTCAGCACCATTGTAATTTTGAATGGTTGCTGAACAATAGGTGTAAGTTGAACAGAGTTCCGGAAAATATTCAGGTTGTAAGATAAATCGGGAGAGTGAACCTGGAACCTAGAAAAAGAAAATTACAAATTGCTTCCATATTGCTGCCAAGAAAACTAACATATTTCATGTTAAAACACTAGATTATGAACCACTTTGAAGAAGATGCTCGACACAGAAAATGTAATTTTTCAGTAAACAAATATTTAAAAGCTCATTAAAAGAACCATTACAAGAACTACATAAAAAGAAGACTGATGCCAGAAATACCTGCATCTCTCTGGAGAATCCTCCCTGTCTTTCCTTCGAAATTTGCTGATGGTGTCATCAATTGTGCTCCCAATTTTATCACTCAGCTCACCTAATTTATCGCTGAAAGGAAATCCACCTTTGTTTTTATCCCATTCCTCATCCCATTTTGACTTAGGCTCAGCATCGTATCTTTCACCTACATAATGTAAACAGTCAAAGAATGAAAGAAAAGAAAAAAAGTGATTAACCCTAAGATACTACTACTTCTAGCAGTTTTACTCACGATGGAACTTAAAACTGAGTTAAAAATAACAACAGAAAAATGTTAAGCATTTTTACAGAGCTGAATTAACACATTATTATTTATTATAATATAATATAATTATTATATTATTATTATTGCTCATAATAATGTTCTATTGCCAGAAAATATAGTTAAAAGATGTTATTACTGACAAATATGCTAAGCTAAACACCATAAAAGCAAGTAAAAGGCATCTTTCTGCCCAACAAAATGAGGCTCATATAAAGCATGTATGACAAATAAAGTCCAAATATAATAAATGTTCATTAGTACACTTTTAACCAGGCTGTCACGGGGGTCTCATACCAAACCCTGCAAGACGGCAATATTTCTAGCCTCAGTTAACTATTTTAAATTCTCTTCAAAGTCTTTAATGACGATGCAGCACATTATCCCCTTATGTGCTAGTTAGGAGTTTTTAATTTCCCCATTCTCCCACCCTCACCCCACCCCTTTCCCCCAATAGCTACATAAACAAAATTTGCTTTGCAAGAGAGCCAACTGGCTGTGAATTGTAATAGAAGGTGCCAGTTTTCCTCAGTTATTTTTAAATACAGTTTTAAGTGGTTAGATTTAATTTCCATATAGTTTAGTAGCCAAGAGGGAAGATTTAAAGCTGAATATAATCCCTTGCAGATTTATTTAAAATTCTCAAAAATTGTGATTTTGTTTGCCAAATTCTTTTAATTTGAAAAAAAAAAATACTGGCCAAATACAGATTATTTCTCATATTAAAATCCTGTCATTTGTATCATAATAATGCAGAGTAGCTTCTCATTTAATTTCTTTTGGGGACAATCCATCAAACAGTGGCCCAAAGAATTTCAGTTATAATTGCCGAGGTATACCTACTGATACTAGATTATGTGCAATATCACTTTGTTTTATATTCGTGAACAAGCACTTAGCCCTGTTATACCATAGCACGTGTGCTAAGAGTAATAAAATATGAACTCATACATTACTTACATTTGAAAATTACTCTCTGCCCACTTCCATTAGCTCATGGCAGGTTAATTTTCCCAATCTGAAATTACCAAGTCCCCTCCTCTGCTCACACAGCTCCATTTATACACTGCACCACATGATCACAATAAGGTACACAACATCCACGGAGACAATATGACCACTATCCTATCCCTTGTCCCCTGCCTCCATTTTACTTTCTTTTTAGAGTCCTTTTACATGAGAAGCTGGCCCTCTGCAAAGCACCATGTACCATCTTGAGTTACAAGCCTGCCTCTGGGTCTCCCTCATAGACATTTTTGGGAAAAAAATATATCTGTTGGTGACAGTAGCTGAGTGCTTTGTTAGAAAATATGCTTCCATATCCAGAAAAAAAGACAGGATAGGAAAGAATAGGAGCATATATAAAACTGCTGCAACCTTGAAACAAACGATTGGATTTTAGAAATTCTGACAAATAGTTTTGGATTATTCATGGATTGCTGAAACAGCCAACTAACCCTCCTCCTGCCCCCCCCCCCGCCCCCCAGCTTGGTTGCTCCAGGTTTAGGATGAAATGAAGTTTGGAGGGCTTCTGAAGGAGTTTATGGGCTGAAGAAAGCAAGACAATCCAGAAGAGCCTCCTAGGGTGACGTTTTTTATTGGCCTCCGGTCTTCCAATCTTCTCTTTTCCCTCTCCTCTCTTCTCCTCAGCAGCATCAACAGCCACTGTCCAAAGGAAGCCTCTCAGCCTCATTTTTCCCTCACTTTTCCCACTCCTGCCTGGAACAATGATATCTCTACTGGACACGTCTACTTATTCTATCACATTTTATTCTACAAATATCTGAAACAAGTGCATTTTAGTTTGGTCATGGACCATCAAAACCAGCTGTACTATACATGGAATGGTTTATGTATGGACAACTGCAGCAGGAGCTAAATGTGGCATTAAAAAGCAATATCATCTGCTTACTTTCTCTTCAATGACTGTTCATGTCTTTGTGTTTTTTTTTACTAGCTCCAACTTTGATGGCAGCCACTTTATAACAGTACAAGGACTGGCCAATGAAGGAGTTGTTTCAATAATTTTTGCCTATGGTAACTTTCTTCATCTGTAACTCTCCAGATGAACTGAGTATAATTCACAGAATATGGCCAATTATAGTTCCATTTCCCTCAAAATCACCAAGTGGATTCATCAAAAACATTATTTCAAATCATCAATACTTGTTTGCACACAAGCACAGGAGAGGCAATCGATTGCGTCCATCCTGGCTGAGGACTGAGTTGAAAACTTGGAGGAGCCATCCACAGTGGGCGGAGCTAGGCTAATCAGCCTTTGGACAGACTCAGTCCAATCAGCTAGGACAAGAACAACCCATTACCATTACCTGACCCATCACAGTCTTACAAGGAAGAAACTACATGGTTGTATTCCTCTTCACATAAACCAAGCCATAATTGAAAAAAATATATTTCAATTCAGGCACTTGGCAACTGGGTCTGAATTACAATGTCAGAAAGTCCTGCAGTCACGTGATCACCATTTGCAACCTTCACTGCTGGCTTCTACAAAAAAAGTCAATGGGGAAGCTAGCAGGAGGTTACAAATGGTGATCATGTGATGTTCCATTGTGGGGTTTGCCTAATGAAAGCAACTGGAACTGCTACTGTAAGATGGAATGGACATGTGATGTTACGCTTTATGAGCTCCCAGTTCCAATTATCATCACTAACCGAGGATTACTTGTTCCATCCGAGACACAATAGTTTAAGTACAGTATATCAAATTAACTTCATTCAAATTATTATTTGTTTAAGTGTGTATGTATCCATGCACTATGTGTCTGTTTCACCTGTATTTCATAGTTATTTTTTGTCACACGAATATGCAGCTTTGGATCATTTCTTCAATAAATCAATGAACAAGTATAAGTTTTTTGATTCATTTGTTTAATTAAGTTCTACTTTTAGGACTTATATGTGAAAGATCAGGTTTCAGATCATATTTATGCAGAAATACTGAAAATACAAGAGGATTCACTAACTTTTAAATACTATTGTATGTCACTAAAGCCACCACCTGTCCTCTCCAGGATGGACTTACTGTATCTGAATCCTCCAACACTGTCTGAAGAAACCCCAACATATTTATCTTTGTTTTTCTTTGCCTTTTTCCTTTCTTCACGAAGTCTGTCATCATCCTGGGCAAATTCTACCATTTCTTTCACTTTCTGGCGTATATTTATACCTTGGTCCTTGCCATTCTCATCTGAAAAAAGGAGCAAACAAAAAGAAATTGGGAACAATCTTTAACCTGAAGCATTTGAAAAATGTCTATATAAAATGAACTCATGAACTGCTAAGGTTATGTATTCTAAAGCAATTTTATTTATTGAATATAAGTTATACTCTTTGTAACTAATTTTATAAATAATATTTCATCTTAACCTAAAGTGACATTAGAGCACAATTTTAGTTTCTACAGTTTTCTAACCTACACTGAACTACTAAAAAGCTCACTTAAAAAAAGTGAAATATATGATGCTTAAAAACACATCTCCTGTCAGTTTTAACCCACTGAAAACAACTCTGCTTCTCAAGTCTTTAGGAAGGGGTGGGGTATTTGAAAAGGAAAAAAAATGAACCAGGTTTTTTAAAAATGCTAATTGCTAGCTTTCTCTCTTGCTTTCAAATCTATATTTTTAAAATCTTATCAGCTAAAGTGCATTACACACTAAAATTTGCTCCACCTCTCAAAGCCTCTTTTTTATTCAGAAAAAACAGTGGCCTTGCTGTCTGAGCACTGTAAATATTATTTGGTAGGAGGGGAAATATCCCTACCTTCAAACAGATGTGTGTGTTTTGGAGCTCTAACCTTTCTTCCCAGATGATTAAAGCTATTCCTTTATATACACCACAGGGAACAAGTCTCTAGTGCATATTTTAATATAAACCCAAACACTCATGTTGTGTTGGTTCTGTTGTTATTAGCAGGTCTTTTCTGCAAGTTCTTGTCTTCACTAATTAATACTCTAGGGCCCCACGTCTTGGATTCTGCAGTCTTCACACAACCGGCAACAGTCACATTCTAATTAGAGCAGGGAAGCTTCTAAGCTGGTTCAGGTGACTGACAACTCCAACAACTGCTTTAATTTGCTTATAAGATTCTTCTATAGCTCACCTACAAAGTGGTAATTTTCCAGGGATCGCAAATCATAAATGTGTTCTCTGGCACTTGTAACAACACGCTCTGATCCATTCCTTATGAGGTAAGATAGCAGCAGCAGAGACTATAAAAATACAAAGCACCTTATGACTGCATGAAAAATGCCATCAGTATTTTAAACTGCAATGAAAAGCAAAGCTTAAACATGCAATAAATTAGAAAGAAAAGTAGGATTCATTCTGGTAAAAATGAGCCAACTTAAAAATGTTACAGAACTACTAGCAATACTCTGTAGATGTAAATCTGTGTTTTGCACTAAGACAAAAGAATAAATGGAGAACATTAATTCATACGATATTTGCCTGAAGAATGATTTTTTTTCCCTAGGAGAAAAATTGCAGTTAAGGCAATTTGGGGAAAAACGTTCTGAACTTTAAAGACTGAAACAATTTTCTTTTGTGTCTCTTTTTTGCAATTACTTTATTCCCCAGTGTTTTTCCATTTAAAAGCAATTTTACAGCAATTTTTCTATGCTGCTTTCTGCAGGAAATGTGTTGATGTATAAAATTCAGTATTTTCAGATAAATATAAGCAAACTTCAAAACAAAAATAAGTTTTTAAAGTATGTTAATTCTCTAAACTTCCTGCAGCTTCCAGAATTTGCCTCTTCTTGAAAAACTAAAACCAAGGAAACAAAATGGAAAACCCCCCCCTCACATGCATAGAAGTCATTCACTGTCAGCAGAAACAGGTCTATAAATTGTAACTGAAAGTAAATAGATCATTCTATGTAGTCTTAATATTGAACAAAATGCATAATAGCATTAAAACTTATGTACGTACGTACATATGTATGTAGTATGTATGTATATTTAAAGCAAATAATCACAATACAAGCAGGCATAAAGTTCCCATTTTTAAAAAGTTAACAGCTTCAGAATTGCGTGGACTGTATAGATTTTAAATTTAAAGCCTTTTAGTGCTGCAAGATACTGTGAAAATATGGCATTATGCATACTTGAATTTTACCGAAAGTATAGTGGAAGAGCAAGTATAGAAGAAATAAAACTGAATTGAGCCAATAATGGGAGTAAAACAAAAGATAACCAACTGGTTCTATGCCCAGTAAGATGAAAGAAAAAATATATAAAATGTAATAAATGCCTGTGCATTGAGAGGGAGAAAACAGAATATATAAGAGGTATCAGAAATAAATGTCGAACATTCCTTTAACAACTTCAAATTGATTTTTTTAAACGAACATTCTGAACAAATATTTAAAATTGGGTCTCTCAATAGTGGACTGCTAGGAGGGATTTAGAAGACCAAGTTACAGAGAATCCCTTATTTGATTTTTATTAAGCAATAAAAGTCAAAATTGCTAGAAGGAATTCAATTAAAATCCTTTTTATAAAAACAACAACAGCTCCCTCCCTCCCAAAATCCCTTGGTTTTCAAAGCAGACCAGTTTCTTAAAAATGTGTACTGAAAAAGAATTAACTTGATTAAAATCAAGTTCTACTAATTGCACACAGAGGATCTGGAAACCTGTGAAGTTTAGCATGGATATTATGTTAATGAACGCACAAAACTGAGTTAATTGCCAGAGGACACTGTGGTAAAATTAAAACATTCAGATGTGTTTTTCAGCAATCTTAAGTTTACACTAAAATTAAGGTTTTAATAAACGAATGCAAAAAGTCACTACTATACATACCTTATAAACTCTCCTCCAGTTCTTTTTATTGTCTTTTAACATTCGTGTCCAAAGCATGTTCATAAGCTCTGGAAACTGTTCATACATAAAAGTAGCCCTAGAAAAGAAAAAGATGAAAATGAGGAAGAACAAGGAAGGAGAAAGAGAATTATCAATGGTCCTACTTTATGTCAGAACTTACATCGGACAGCAGGTGGCAGACTTGCTCTGAGTTAAGCCTCCCATCAGCAATTAAGAGCTGTGGACCATTTATACAGAAGTATTTCATATACAGAATTAGCAATGCCAATGTCTTTCCATTGGCAATAATGAAAAAAATAAAAATAAACGAACCTTTATTATTTTAGTCCAACATGACATTCATGTGTTCTTTGTAGGAAAATATGGTTGTGAAGGAGCCCCAATATTTCTATTTGAGAAATGCATTACAAGATCCTTGTCCAAAAGAAACATTACGTGCTATTTAATCAAAGGAACACAGGTAGTTCTCGTTTAGTTACCACAATTGGGACTAGCCATTTAAACAAAATGGTCACTAAGTGAAAGAGGACCATGCTTATAATCTTCACTGGCTTTACAGTCCTGCGAAGGGCTTAAATGTGAGCACCGGTCAAAAAATTACTTTTTCATCACCACTGTAACTGCAAATGGTCACTAAACGAGGACAACCTGTATTTAAAAGTAGTTGGTTGTGATCATTCTTTTCCATAATTAATACACTTCTCTCCCTAATTTATTTATATCCTTCAGGAGCGATGAAGCAGCAGTGGCATATATACTTAAAGATGTATCTTTCAACGGAGCCGAATCATTTACTCTATTTTTCTTATCTTCATCTTTAAGTGCTCTGGTTTTATTGTATTGCGAACAGTTGCTGGAGTGCATCCACAGTTTCGTTGTACTTGTACAATGACAATAAAGTTCTTCTTATCTTCTTATTACTTACTTGGCAATCTCTCCCATGAGCTGTCCTGAAGGTCCCCATGGATCATCATTGGTTGCTTCTCGAACCTTAGACTCAATTTCAGAATAATTCATAACCACATTGGTGCTGTACAGAACAGAATTAAATGCAAGCACAAAGATTAGCATCAAAGCAGAGAAACACACGAAAACTTAATAATGACACTAGTGGGGAGCTTAACCTCGGCAGGGTGAGAAAGTAAACGTCTTTAGTAGAGAACTACCCTGAGGAAACTGGAACACATTTATCTATCTTTAAGAAGGTTTTACTATCCCATTAACCTTCCGGAATATAGATCAGAGATAAGGGGTTACATGAGATTTGGAAACAGTCCAGTTAAAAATGGCTTTTGGTTACAATTAAGAGAAACTGAGCTGCTGAAGAAGGCAGTAGCAGCTCCAGGCACAGCTACTTGCCTTCTATCACAACCCCCATAAAACTATCCCCTATCTTGAGTGGAATCAGGTGAGAAGTGTGTTCTTTTAAAACCACTGCATTGTGAAACAGAAGATTTGTGTCTCTCTTTAGCAGATTCCTGTCCAATTACGGAAGGGGGAAAAAAAAGAGTAGAGCATTGTAATAGCATGAATATAGTCTGAGCAAGGTTGAACAGTATGGCAAAATCCAAAGAACCACTCCTTTACAGAAGAACTGTTAATCATCTTTGTACTCAACATCTTGTCTCTAAGAATTTTTGTATCAACTATAAGGTCACATAAAAATGGCTTTTTCTTTCTATTTCTCCACAGATCCCGATAGGGAAAATTTGTCTAATTAATATACTTTTAGTTTTTTCTTTCAAATATGCATAGGAAAACAGATTAATCTCCATAGGATATAACAGTTAAATAGACGGGAAAGCAAACAATATGGTTGACTCACAACTGTTTCACAAGAATTTCAAAATAAGGCTCACATTGCAGCCGGTGGATTTGAAATATGACATAAAATTGCTGCTCTAGGTAGGACTAGGAACAGGTATATTTATATTCTTATTGAAATTTCTCTGATATGTGCTCTTAAATCATCCTAATATTGGGAATATTTTTTTTAATTTACATTCAAACAGTCATGTACTCAATGTCCTAATTCTAAGAATAAGAAACTCCTGTGATGGAAAGATAAGATTTTCTAAAGAGTTATCTTGTGATAAAACAAACCAGATAATTTCCTGGCTACTGCCATCCAACTTAAAATATTCCTACTCATTTCTTGGTAAATGAAATAACGAATGTATAATACAAAGTTTGCATCATACTTTAGGCAGAGATTATATTTATGGATATATATGGATAGGTATGGACGATCACATATATTCTCCTTAGTCCTTGCCTATTTTTTCAAGTCACTGCATCTGAATGTAGGGACTATTAATCTGTTTTCAAAAAAAGTGAAGTTACACTTTTGAAGAAAACAAAAATTTTTTATGTGTGTTGATAACCACAGGCCAGCTCCCGATCTCCCATTCCTCCTCCTATCATTTAGGCAGCAGAAAATAGCTCTCTTTCAATCAGATTAGATACTGGGTCAAAGATTGCCTTGAGCTAAACTGATTTTACAGACTTGACTGAATACATACATTACTGATATGCTTGCTTTCACAAACCATTGCCCAATTTCTGTTAAATTGTTTTGGGAAATTGGTGAAGCTAAATTCTGCTTCTTCAAGTTCTTACAGGCATTCGTTAATAAGAGACAACAAAAGTTGAACTCAGTCAAAGTAGAGGAAATTATTTTTAAAAAGTGTCTATGTGGAGCAAAATAATGCTTTCTTGAAGAGGCAGGTTTACAGAAAGGTATTTTTCTACAGTCAGACCTACTATTGCTAGCTGCTTTCTACCTCCAGTAGCAAAAGTTTATCAGTTACAACTGATGCACCAGTAGCAACACTAGAATCTGAATCTAAAGAGTAAACAATATATGATGATAAATGATATAAGGGGGTTCCTGAAGATTAAATGCTTAGTTAAACTGCTGGCTGGATTCCCTTTTTGAAGAAAGTAAAATAGCTGTTGGTCAGTAATGAATTTAATTGAGCATCCTTTGGATCTACTTTACAAACAAGCATGCCTTTACAGCCATGAGTCATTGCCTGTTGTACACCTAAACACTACTCTAGAAAAATAAGACCGTTTAACTAAGGACTGTCTACTTCCTGGCAGAATAGGAAAGAAGTAGAATCATTGTGGAACTGCCACAACTTTATATTAATAGTCCAGTCAACAGTTTCTGAACTTGAACCATACATACTCAACCTATCCTCTGATGACTACATCTCTCATCTTAAATGAGCTAAGAAAATTATGACTAGTGTTCCTTTTGGCAGGGAAATAAAGATACTGGCTAGATGTGCTGGAAATGTTCAGAAGTATGATCTATTAAAAAAAATTGCCCATACCTTGTAAAACTAATGAATTTATTATTATTTATTATTATTATTTATTAAAACAAGTTTAGCAGGAGAGGTATCTTATAGGTCCTGTCAGGTAGGAAGTGTTGCCTAACAGCAGGGTCCAAGAGGAGAGCTTTTTCTGGTGTGGCATCCACCTGATAGAAACATCATCAATCTAGTAGTCAGCTTGGCCCTGACCCTGTTGGCCTTTTTCAAGGCCTTAAAAATACAGTTATGCCAACAGCCATGGAGAACCACGATTGTCGTAGAACTGGTGCAGTATCTTGTATGTTTTGATGGATAGAAAGCTTTTACCTCTACTGCAAATGTTATATATTTTTGTATTTATAATATGCTTTCTACATTTTTTCCTTGTTATTAAATTGTTGCATTTTTGTTTACTATATTTGTATTTGTCTCTGTTTGTAAGCTGCTCGCAGTTATATATGAGATGGACATCGATCTAAATTTGAATAATTTCAATACCTAGAATTGATACTTAGAACTTTTTTTTAAATATCTAGAACTGATTTTTCAGACAGAGTTTTTCATTGTTCATATTGTAATCTTATAAAATTTGGAGGTACAATAACAGTTGGGATTGACACTGCTTTAACACCCCACCCCTAAAAAAAATCCTCCAAAATATATTTGTGTTAATACTGAAGTGTTTAGGGTCAAAGGCTAAAATTAATTTTTCTATATTATAGTTGGCCAATCCAAATAATCCAAATCTGCTTTATTTTTATATAACTATCAGTCTACAAATGAAACTATTACATATCTCAGATTATATCAAAATAAATCAGATTTACATAATAACAATTAAAACTGCACTTATTCACCACTAAAACTGGGCCATCAAAACACCTCCCTCCCTTCATCCTAATGTTCTATAATCCCCTTTTTTCTACAGGCACATATTAACCTCATGCCAATTTTGATTCCCATTCATATGGAACTGGTTTTCAAGACAGGCTTCAGAGATTTTGTAGCTTTCAGCACACAACTTCCCTTGTCTAATGTAAGAAATACCTGTAGATCAAATGCAAAAGGTTCTGTTTTTACAACCTTTCCCCAAGCTCTTGTTTGAAGGGCTGGAGGAAAGACTGGAAGATGAAGTGTTTCCTCCATTTCTTTAAGTTAAATGCTTAAGATTTCAAGTCATGCAGGAAAGAAAAGCCACAAGCATCCATTAACACACAGAAACACACACACACACACACCTCTATCAGTCACTTTAGAAGAAAAGTTCCCTGAGTAATACAATATGTGAGGTACTTAAAAGATTGTGAAAGCTGAAAAACAGCACAAACCCTAAATTACAAACAGCATGGGACACAATGTATTTCTGAATCCATCTTGTTGTAAAAATATTGTTCTCAGCAAACAAAAGTACTCGTAAATTCCAAGAAGAGATCGAGCGCACAAAAAACTAATAATCTTGTAGTCACATTTCATTCAGCAACAAATGTAAACTGGGAAGGGAGGAGGAGGGAGTAAAAAAGAAAGAGGGTTGTGTAGTTTGGCTGCGTTCCAGGCCATTTAAAAATAACTGTTTCTAAAAAGGTGGAAATCTAGTTTTATTCTTCCTTTCCCATGTTTTCTATGGCCCTCAATCCATGCCCTACCCATGATGCCTGTGACCTTTAAAGCAGAAAAAAATTTACTTCCAGATGTGAGGGGAAAAAGTGACTGGTTTGACTGCCAAGACTTCCTGTGATTGATATAAATTTGATATCCGAGGACACTTTCAGACACCAGGGGAGGGGGCTCCTGAATTAGTTTATCCTGGGCCTCTTCCAAAGAATCCGGTTGGACTTCATGGACAGAATTCTTTGCAAATATGAATGTGCTACATAATAGCCGGATTGACAAATGGGCTGTGGACACTTTGTGCTTAACGCTTGCTAAACTCCAAGATGCTGTCTGGCAGAGGCTACTTTTTTTCTCTCGTTCTCAATTAGAATCTTCACTGTAAACCATTTTCTTAAAAAAAGGTTCATCTGAGTAAAAGTAGAAAAATCTGGTTTCCCACCCCGGAACTGTTTCAACAAAAAGTAATACTCTACAGGGGTAAAGTCACTGATGTAATAGCAGTAACAAAAACACAGAAATGTAAGCTTATTTTGCAGATAATCTGCGTAAAATTAACACAGGGAAAATCCCAAGCAAGTTATAAACTAATGACTCACAGTTCATGCACAAGGCTCAAACTTCCTTTAGCTATTTCCAGATAAAAGATGACTCCAACCAGTTCAAAGTTCTTGTACTTTATTTATGGTTTAAGGTAGAGTTCCTCAATGTTTCCAGCTTTGTGGACCGGCGGGCTGGGGAGGAGATAGTTCCATGTGAGCGGATGGCAAGTACCATGCACACAGCTCCATTTGTGCAAGTATGCACTTGTGACTGACTGCCACTCACACAAAGGGAGTGTGCGTGCACATGCTCACCTGTTTATGCAAGTGAAGATGCATGCATGCTTGACAGCTGTTTCTGCGGCCTGGTTGCAAACCCCTCATGGCCCACATGTTGGGGGCCCCTAGTTCAAGGCGTATGCTGCAAACAACAGGCTTTCTGTTGACAGTGGATTCCTCTACTTCTTTTTTTAAAATATTATTTATTGTTTTATCATAAAAATAAAGTACAAACAATAAACAAAATGAAACAAAAACTTACTTTCACCCCTAACCAC